TCTCAACATAACACCATATAAACAATTTTCTAACATGAAACGGTATGAAATTGTATTATCATTATTGTTATTATCAGATCCTCCTGAAAATATTTATATAATTGATATGACAATGTGGTTTTTTGTTTTAACCATAAAAGATTTTGTAATAATTATGATATTCATGAAACCATGTGGAAGATTTTTTAATTATGTAATCATATAGAATTATACACAATTTTAAGTACAACAAATTTCGGGAGGGGGGAAGGGGGGGGGGGGGGGGGGGGGGGGAGAGAAGAATAACAGATTTTTAAATAATGAAGATTTATTAAAATTTATATAAAATATTAAATACAAGAAAATCATGAAGCAAAGTTCTATACACAAAACTGTTTGGCAGTACAATCTAATGGGTATCTCATAATTTTACAACTCAGATTCAACATTCCAGACCAAACTTAACCCCCCCCCCCTTTCCCCCCACTTTTCCCTTTCCAACAAGCATGTTGCCCAAGTTTACTAATTAGGGGTATTCCTTAATTAAGAGTATTTAGTAATTGGAGTATTTCCTTCAGAGTTGGAGCGCATCTGCCTGAGAGGTGGGAAACTAACAGTCTGCACACAAACAAGCTAAATCTGTAAAATGGATGTGCACACAAAACTCAAATACTGGAACAAGATTAATAACTAGAAGTTGACATACAACCAGAACTTTCCACTAGAGTCTACAGAACACAAAGAAAAATATGAAGAAATTGTAACTAAAATTGCTAAGTCAGTGATTTCATTAAGTTTTGAATATACGGAAATCATGGAGGGGACACAAGTAAGCCAGATCTTAGTTAGTTAGTTAGTTAGTTAGTTAGTTGGGTTATCCTCATTGCACTCCGGACATGTCCATAGGTGCTCAGATCCTTCCCTCAGTATGAACCCCAACGTCCGATGGCTAATAGTACCAGTTCTATGTTGATTGACAAGTCTTCCGGTGTGTCTGGTGTGCGTCTCGTTTTTTGCTGTGCCGATCTTAATTCCTAAGTCTGCCATTCTGGCGAGTGATGTGGATTCACTGCCACCAAAGTTCTCTATCCTTCCCATTTCTCTGAGGGCATTGATAATATCAGCATGATCCATAGGCTGACCGTCGGTAGTGATAGCGGATCCAGCCAACCTGTCAGCTCTTTCATTTCCATCGATGCCTGCATTTCCCGGAACAAAAATAAATGTGACTCCACGCACAGTGGACTTCTGTAATGATTCAAGCCATTGTCTTCGCACTGAACCTGCCTGAACCCTCCGGATCATACTCATTGAATCAAAGCCAGATCTATATCTATGCACTAGAGTACTATGAGCTCCGGTACTTTATGGACTTCTGTACTTTATGGACTTCTGTACTTTATGCACTTGAGTGCTAGAACAATCTTTAAAAGTACAAATTAAAGTAAAAGTCCCTTCCCACACCATCAGGCATATTGGGCATATAAGGTTAGACCTACATTTTAAACATCAATCAGCACTTGGTGGGTGAGGTGGTCAACATCACACCAGCCGCCTTTACTTCCCAGAACCTGCCCCTGGTACCCAGTCAAGGCTGGGTCGACCTGGGAGCAAAGAACAGTCTTTACTATACAAAACTGACATTGGCTAAATGTAATTTAGGTGACCATAATATCTTGAGCTGAAAAGGGGACATCTCAGACAAGTTAGTTCAACTCCCTCAACCATCTCCCTACAATGGTCCTTAGGGGAACAAGTTACTTACTCGATCGATAGTGGTGTTAAAACCCAAACTACTGCATGAAGAAATAAATGAAACAATATGCTATTTAACGGTAATGGAAAAAAAAAAACAATGAAAATTCCCCATCAATACATTTCAGTACATTTTTAAAATTGTAAAAACAAATATGTAACAAATCACAAAAATTTTTGTTTTACAGAATACAGCTACAAAAATAAAATAAAAAATAGATATTGCAGAAACAATATTTATCAGTTAAGGGAAAAAAACACAGCAACAACAAAAGAGAGAGAAGGAAATGACGATGATGTAATATTACACTATTATGATGTTTTTTAAAAATGTAAAACAAAAATTTACAACTGAAAGGTATACAAATTGGGGTAAATAACAATTAAAAATAAAAAGACACTTCAAGTTAGATAAAAATTGCCCGTTAATGTCACTTAATCAAATTTTTTTTAAAAACAGCAATGTGTTTATGATATGCATAATCAACACTGGTTGTGTTCACACTTGCACTGCATTTAAGAGGTCAGGATATAAAAATATTTACTAAAAATAGCATTGGTTGTTGAGGGGAGAGGGGGTATTGTGAATCAAATGGCATTTTTAAAGCCACATTAACGTCAAACTCCCTTGGTAGCCTCAATGATTGAGGTCGGGAGGTCACGGCCTGAATCACATGATAAATTTGTTTGAAGGTCCCGGCGAATGTATTTCTTTTAATACTTCACTCTGTTCATGTTCATTGATTAATCCCTTTACATACCATGATATTTTTGGGAGACCATCAAAATATTAACTATTCGCTTGCTGCTGAAGATGGGGACAGAGCACTTATGGGGGTGTCCCGAGTGCTGTGATGTCGATTCTTAATTCAACATTTCAACATTCATATTTTGGAGGACAAAATTCACAACTGTAGATGAATATACATGTTTTATAATTTATAAATGACCTGTGTTAAATTTTTTTTTTTTTTTTTAATATTCTTTTTCTTTTTTTTTTTAAAGGATATTTTTAATGAAATTCCCACAGGTTCATGCACTAATGTCTCTGAAAGACACTGTATTTTAGCAATCTGGGGTGGTCTGCTTAACTCAGCAACTCCAAATGCTAAAAACATTAACTCCAGAAGAGAACATTTTATTCTGTTTCTTCTTATTGTTTGCTGATGAATACTTTATCCCATAAAGTCAGTTTTTGGTTTTTCTTTAGTTGCATTCTGTAAAGCTGACATATATTTTGTGTTTGTCCGGATCTTTAAAAAAAAATTGTCACAACTTTAGTGTACTTAAACTAATTCTGTTTTTCAATTAAAAAATAATGACAGTATGAAGGCAAATTATAACAACATTTGAACAAATTTCACAACCTCCACAACTTGTTTAGGTGTGTTTTAAAGTAATTGCCTCAGTTCACTCACAAAGAATACTGTAAAACATGTACATAATCAGGTTTAAAAATTGTTCAAATAAACTAAAGATGTACAAAGAAAAATAAAAACATTCTCTCAGAATAACATCTTCCATTTCTTTCATCCTGTTGTTTAATAGTTATTACTGTTAGGGTGCAGCAAGTGATATATGGTCTGCAAGATGTGAACATGAAAAATCCAATAGCAGTTACTAATCATTGATTGCAGGCTGTAAGGCAACTCCACTGGCAAAATTATTAGGAAAAAAAGCCTACTTATGAAACCAGAATGATAGACTTGAGAGTTAAGATCAGCATTGCTAAATACCAAACTCACAACAGGCAGCACATCAGAGGACTTGTTAATCAACATAAAACTGGTTCACACTGAGGGTAGGATCTGAGCACCTATGGATATGTCCAGAGTGCAATGATGATAACCCAACTAACTAACTAACTAACTAACTAACTAACTAACTAACTAACTAACTAACTAACTAACTAACTAACTAACTAACTAACTAACTAACTAACTAACTAACTAACTAACTAACTAACTAACTAACTAACTAACTAACTAACTAACTAACTAACTAACTAACTAACTAACTAACTAACTAACTAACTAACTAACTAACTAACTAACTAACTAACTAACTAACTAACTAACTAACTAACTAACTTATGAGTAGCTGGAGCCTGTTACTTCTGCTGGAATTAATCAAACACATTGATTTTCCCATGTGGGTTCTGGGGCCCAATGCTGCTGGAAAGAGAATAGACCCACCGTGTCCCAAACAAGCATGTCATAAAAAGCCACTAATCCTGGGTGTTTCTTTCAAAGTCAGAGTACATCTGCCCAAGAGGTGAGAAACCAACAGTCTGCACACAAATAAGCTAGATCTGTAAAGTACATGTGGATGCAGAAGTCAAGTTCTGGAACATGACCAAAGTCCAGAAATGGATGAACAGCCAGAACTTTCCACTGTATCGATATTATTTTGGGTACTGTCAAAGTGATTTATTTATTCTAACTTGTAATTTACTTAAACTAAACAAAATAACCAGTTGGATACATGTTAATTCCACCTTTTATACTTGGGTCATCTCAGTCCCTCTCAATGTAAGCTGTAAGGTAAATATATATATATGATAGGGGCCTCAGGGCTTTATACAGCTTATGGCCTCATCAAGTGTAAATGCAGCCCTACCTGCAGCCAACTTTCATCCCAGCATATTGGGATTATGAAAGCTCCTTACAACCCCTAGTTACAGATGCTGACTCAAGAAATATTACAAGAAGACAATTTCTTTAACTGCAAGTTTAATAAACAAATATTTTGCTTCTCACGTACAGCCCAGGGTAGACCAGGAACAAGATGGAAAGATATTTGAGAAACTCCACAACAGTACATTTTGTCTATGATCAAGGAGGCTAGATGAGCAAGAGGCAGAACCTTACATCTGCTGTCACACCCAAAACAGTAAAAGAAGAAGTGAAGAAGAAGAAGAAGACACATTTTTCTTTGACTTCCTCAACAGACAATTAATCATTAACCCTTTGAGTCCTAAGAAACGCATCATACGTTCATAGGTTTCTACCTAGAAGCCCAATGAACACATGATGCGCCGATTTTATGACTCTATTTACTACCCCCTAGGCCTGTGATGCTAAACCCCCTGGGACTCAAAGAGTTAAAGTATGAAAGTTTATCCTGCACAAACACATCTTATTGTCCCCTTAATTTCCAGTGTCACCACGCACAAAACATTCTTTTTCATTATCATGATTGGATTTTTGTTCACAAACACATACCTTTTCATTTTAAAATTAATTTAAAACATACTTGTTCTAATGCTATAATTCATCTTTCGGTCTCTTAAATTCATACGTGCTATTTTCATCAATATCACCATCGTAAAATTCAGGAACTCTGAAAGACACTAACGGACAGGGACCTTTTATATTTTGACAGAATAACTTCTCTATCGTTGAAGTCCTGACAATATCAAAACCAACTTGGCCCCCAAAAGTTGAAGGTTTCCAATACTGTTTGGAACAGATTGGGTTGGCCATCAGTCCTTTCACAGAAAATGGGCCTCCTACTTCAACAATTGTGGATCCAAACAGATTGTTTGCTCGTCGTTTCTCCATAAGAATCCCAACATAGAATTCCACTGCATCAATATCTCCGTACATTTCCCTTAGTGTGGCAGCCATCTCTTTTTCTCCTGAAAATGTAGAAATGACACAGTTAAAAATTATCAACAATTAAAGTGACAATTCAGGAGTCGTGGTGGCGTAGTGGCAAGATGCTAATGTGCGGATTGGAAGGTTGTGGGTTGGCTCCAGGCGGAGCTGGGCTTTTAAAAAAAAAGGACTCTAACTCCCAGGTCAACCCAGCATTGAGTGGGTACCGGGTGCAGTCCCGGGAAGTAAAGGCGACTGGTGTGATGCTGACCACATCACTTATCTTGAGCCGATTAGTCTATAAAAAATATAGGTCTAACCCTATATGCCCTATACACCTAAAGATATAGAAAAGGGACCTTTACTTTTTAATTTTTCTTTCAACTCTTTGAGTCCCAGGGGGTTTAGCATCACAGGCCCAAGGGGTAGTCAAGAGAGACGTAAAATCGGCGCATCTTGCGTTCATTGGGCTTGTAGGTAGGAATCTATGAACGTATGATGCGTTCCTTGGGACTCAAAGAGTTAAGTGGCAATTCTAGGAAAATTAAGAGTAAAGCATGAACTAAAATCCAATACGCAAACTGTACTGCAATGAATCCCATCTTCTGTAACATTATGGGAAATGAAAGTGCACTACTTAGCAAAAATTGGCAGCAATACAGAACAGTTGGATGCAGGATATACTTATCAGGAAAATGAAACTCAGTTCAGATCAAGGCAGCCGTTAGAAGTCAATAGTTTCAGAACAGAATCGCAGAGATCTAATGAACCTCCTCACACACACAAAAACACAACTTTATTTAGACTGCTAACCAGAAACAACAGGCTCTGCAGCGACAAGCATGAGAAATTCTGGACTGGGGGACTTGGAACGTTGCCCTTGTACTCTTCAGTCAATCATCCTAGCCTAGTGTATGCAATCAGTCAATCACCCTAGCCTAGTGTATGTAATCAGTCAATCATCCTAACCTAGTGTATGCAGTCAGTCAATCATCCTAGCCTAGTGTATGCAGTCAGTCAATCATCCTAGCCTAGTGTATGCAATCAGTCAATCATCCTAACCTAGTGTATGCAGTCAGTCAATCATCCTAGCCTAGTGTATGCAATCAGTCAATCATCCTAGCCTAGTGTATGTAATCAGTCAATCATCCTAGCCTAGTGTATGTAATCAGTCAATCATCCTAGCCTAGTGTATGTAATCAGTCAATCATCCCAGCCTAGTGTATGTAATCAGTCAATCATCCTAGCCTAGTGTATGTAATCAGTCAATCATCCCAGCCTAGTGTATGTAATCAGTCAATCATCCTAGCCTAGTGTATGCTATCAATAAATTAACCTCCACGTATTGGATCTGGGTCTCCCTTTTGAAAGGAAAAAGAAAAGACCCCCCCCCCCCCTTTCCAAACCAAGCTAGTGTGTGTAATCAGCTGGTGTGTGTAATCAACGTGTGTGTAATCAGCTGGTGTGTGTAATCAGCTGGTGTGTGTAATCTGCTGGTGTGTGTAATCTGCTGGTGTGTGTAATCTGCTGGTGTGTGTAATCTGCTGGTGTGTGTAATCTGCTGGTGTGTGTAATCAGCTGGGATGTGTAATCTGCTGGGATGTGTAATCTGCTGGGATGTGTAATCTGCTGGGATGTGTAATCTGCTGGGATGTGTAGTCTGCTGGGATGTGTAATCTGCTGGGATGTGTAATCTGCTGGGATGTGTAATCTGCTGGTGTGTGTAATCTGCTGGTGTGTGTAATCTGCTGGGATGTGTAATCTGTCGATGTGTGTAATTAGTTTAATTACCCAGCTTGCCTGCTTACACTTACCTGTGAGATCCTCAAAAGATGTGTACGGCTCCAGGTTGAATCGCTTCCTGTAATTGTTGAAAGGCTGGAAGCGGAGTAATCTGCCTTGAAGAATGGTGTCCTTCAGAACATGAATCGTTGATGGGCCGTGATTATGATGAGACATCTGTGAGAATAACACAAACAAGTGATTTATATCTTGTATATTAACAATATAAACTCTCCCCACTAACTAAACCAAAACGTTCACATATTTAGGGATATTTATAATGTGAGATGGAGATATGCTGTGGTATAACAGCTAGATTATAATGTGAGATGGAGATATGCAGTGGTATAATGGCTAGATTATAATGTGAGATGGAGATATGCTGTGGTATAACGGCTAGATTATAATGTGAGATGGAGATTTGCTGTGGTATCACGGCTTGACACTCGCCTGACCATCAGAAGGTCATAGGTTCAAGTTCTGACAGAGCTGGACTTTTTTTTTTTAATGTCAGCCTTCAGTGTGAAGACAGCATACAATGTCTTATGAGAGGGGAAGTCATTAAGTAAAGACAACTGTGTCCTAATCTGCATGGAACAGTATAAAGTAAGTAAAAGATCCCTTTTCACGCCTTAGGTGCATCCGGCAAACGGGAAGAGCGTCCCATATTTTTACAGACCTATCAGCACTCGGTGGGTAATGTGGTCAGCATTACGCCAGCCGTCTTTACTTCCTCAGGACAGCCATCCTGGTACCCATTTTTGGCAGCGCCCCATACCATGATAAAAATCCATGCAGCCAGCAGTGGGTTTCGATTGCGGTACGTTGGAATTACGAGTCGGACTCGCAACGCCCAAACTATGGGACAGTATGCAAAAGAAAAAATATTATTTCAGGGCACAGAAATGCCCCTTTGCAATTCCCAAAGTACATATTGAAATGATTTAGCATGCATGCAACAACTCATACAAAATGGCCGCAACACTGTTAACATGCACCAATGAAGAGCAATGAGATTTTATTCACATTTTGTGGGTAGAGGGTGTTAAACCGTCTAAAACCTGTCAAAGAATAAAGTTTTAATATGGAGACAGTTGTTTGTGTCAGAGGAAAGTGTATGAATGTGAGGAGAGATTAAAGAACGGAAGGATAACATCAGTGATGAACAGCAGAGTGGGAGACATGTTAGCCGAGCAGCTGAGACAATAAAACAGCAGATAAAGCAGCGAGACAATGAAACAGCAGATAAAGCAGCGAGACAATGAAACAGCAGATAAAGCAGCGAGACAATGAAACAGCAGATAAAGCAGCGAGACAATGAAACAGCAGATAAAACAGTGAACAGCGAATCTGCAATTACAGATGAGTCACTATTGATGAAACTGCTGTAAAATTCCACATGAGTCACGGAGCTGCATACAGAACTGTTCACGATGACTGTGGTTGTAGGAAAGCATGTAGCAGATTAGTTCTCAGGCAGATGTCCAATGAACAGAAGCACACAAGGCAGATGATTTATCAGTTATCAGAAGCATTTATACCATCATGCCCGTGAAGGGGATGCTATTCTCCATCGAACTGTGACAGGTGATGAGTCCTGGATGTACCACCATGAACCAAAGAGTAAGAGATAACTGATGCAGTGGAAGCATCTGGCGTCACCACCAGTAAAACAATTCAAGACCAAGGCTTCAGCTGGGAAAGTCCTGCTAACCGTCTTTTGGGATGTCAATGGTCCTTCCTGTCGGCTCTGTGGCTAAGTCAATGCGATTGCTTCGTAATGCCGGGATGCCAGGTTCGATCCCAGCTGCGGGCCATGCGCCTTGCGTTGGTTTCGACAGTGGTATCAAAAAAGCTGACCGTCCAGAAAGCAATGGCAAACTACTGGACGTAAATTTGCCTAGAAAAACCACACAACAGCCAGGGGCTGTTAGGGTTGGTTCTGCAACGTCCTGTAAAGGATACGCAACTAACCAATGGTCCTTCCAGAAAAAGGGTGAAACTGTGACTATTAATGCTCTTTACAATGACATGTTAGCGAATAAGTTAAAGCCCTCAATCTGATCAGAACCCTGGAGTTTTCTCCCAAAAGAAGTTTTACTGCTGCATGAAAATCCCCCCCCTCCCCCACGGCTGCACATAGACTACAAACTTTGTGGTTGGACATTTTAAACATCCAGCACACAGACCAGACTTGGCACCGTTGGACTTTCATTTGTTTGGCCCACTGAATGAATATTTGCGGGGTCAGAGATTTGCAGATGATATTAAGGTGATGTCGGTAGTGCAAACATTTTTTGGCTGTTGTGATTTTACTAGGCAAATTTTACATTCAGTAGTTTGATAATCACATAACCACACTTTAAAATATACAATTGAGTTTTCAATAAATAACAAAATCAATTAGCATTTGGATAACAACAAGACAGCAATACTTACATGGCCAGCTCGTTGTCTAGACAAGGACTCTGTGAAAACTGAAGTACCATACTTCACGACGAGCTCCGAATGAAACATATAATCCTTCATTGGGTAGATGGTGCCATTAATGTTAAACTCATCCGGCATCAACGGATGCCAGTGGTACAGGTGGTTGAACTCAATGTTAATCTTATTCTGATACTGAAAACTTTCTCCGAACAAAACGGTCGGCTTGAATTTGATCCGGATGTTGTAGTTAGCCAGGTGCTCCACATAGTCCTCAATCACAATTTTTATGGTTTCTCCTAAAGAAAATAATGAAATCATTATTTGAATCTTGATTGTATTTGATCTGGCAAAGGATCAGATTCATAGCAGACAGATATTTCTATCATGAGACAGTTTATGACATAATGAGACAAAGACAAATAACGACCACACTTCAAATTATAACATAAAGTGACGAAAACAGGGGTAACTGCAGTCAGGTTAATACCAAGAAATTAATTGACTCTCTCCCCTTTGTTATTGTTGTGTAAATAGTTCATGTTGAGAAAGGCCCCAGGTGAAACATTGATTTGTGTATTTTGTGCACATTGTTCTGCTTCCCATTTTGTTAAGCTTTTTAGGCACAGTTTACTAAATTAATGTCTTTGACTGATAACAGAATGTTGATATCAACATGTTGATACCACAACATCCAGTTCGAGAATGGAGGTGGAGGCGGTCACTGCAGCTTTCCGCTGGTTAGAGAACACGACACACACACACATCCTGATTGTAACTGACTCAGAAAGCATGCTGAGGAAGATCAGGACAGGCATGCTTTGTGCAGAGTGGCATGCTTCGCTGCGGAGGACACTGGTGAGGAGTATTGTCTGCATTTTTTCACCGGGTCACACCGGTGTGTTGAGAAATGAACAGGCGGACAGCTGCTGCTGTTGCAATGAAAATAACATTAACACCAACAACAACAGCTGTTTTCCCTGCCAATATAAACATACCCAGGATAATTAACTTGGCTGTCTGAAACAATCTTTCATCGTCCCAGTCCGGATGCTCTTCCTTCAGAATGTCACAGACTCTGTTGTGCTCTCGCATCCAAATTGTCTGATACAAGAACAGGCCAGGTAGAAGCCCAAAAAATGGATGACCCAGTGCAAACTGGCGATCTTCAGGAACATTTGGTGGGTAGGTCATACGAATCGGAACATCTTTAAGAAACATGGGGTAATCTTCTCCATTAATTTCCTGAAGAATAAATAATCATTTGAAAAGATGGATCAATAATTTTCTAACAAAACAATTATGTCATGTGTTATTTGTTAAAATTGAAAAATGTGCAGAACATTGTACAAGCACACATAACTATTTTGGCGTAGACAATTCCAGATTATATACTTCCTGTGTACACACTGTGTATATACTTCTATTGCTGTCTCAATGGGCCAGATTGTGATGTTCAATGCCAAAAAAAACAGGATGATTAAATTAATTAAGTGATGGGCTCTCCTTTAAACAACGGTCGATAGCTAAACGGCGACGGTCGGTTAGTCGGAGTTCACACCCTTGGCTGCATTGCAAATATGGAGCGTAAAGAGGGAACGAAACAAATGGCATACTTACCTGTCATCATACGGTTGCGTAGAGTGTAGTGTTAGGGTTAGGGGTAGGGTTTGGGGTAGGGTTAGGGTTAGGGTTTGGGGTAGGGTTTTGGGTAGGGATAGGGTTTGGGTTAGGATTAGGGGTAGGGTTAGGGTTTGGGGTAGGGTTAGGGGTAGGGGTAGGGTTAGGGTGACACATCACGGAAACAACGGAAGCTTATTGCTCATTACGACATACAGACCCGCAGGTCTCACATCTATGGTTACTAAGTCGTGGTCGGAAGAACACGGTCACTAATGTGAGCCGCAGCGCGTGCTCTACGAGAGTCTTGCGTCGCAAGACCGCGGTCGCTACTGTCAGTCGCAGCGCGTGGTCTAGCTCTAGCAGGCATGTCGACCTCACTTTGTTTTTTTTTATTCGTGACTTGTCCGCTCCATACTTGCACTGCAGCCAAGGGAGTGAACTCTGACTAAGCGGCCATCGCCTTCCAGCTAGCGACCGTTATTTAAAGGAGAGCCAAGTGATGATTATGAATCCACAGCCCTGACTTGAATGTTTAACCCTCTCACTTAGGAAGCTATTTAAAGAAGACTCATAGAATCTAAAAACTCTCAACAATAAAAAAAAACCTTTTTTAAAAAAAAAAGGTCAATAAATTTTAAAAACAAAAATGTATTTATATAAATTAACAAAAACACAACCAGGTCTTTAGTATTATTTTTCTAGGCCAGTGTGGAAAATGGCTTGAGGAGCATTGTTAAATGTAAAGTGGTAGTTATTTGTTGAATAGTTACCACTCATTTTCTATATTTCTGATGGTAGATTGGCAAATCATGAACTACTAACCTGCATTTTTAACTTTCCATCTTGAAGACTTCTCAACATTAGTTCATCTCCAACAGAGCGGCCATAAATGGATGTAACATCAACCTTTTGGAAAACATTTGACCAGCAAATGTAAGTCAAATAAACGTAAACACTTTGGTAAATGCAGTTACAACAGATTAGACCAAGATAGTACATAGTTACAACAGATTAGACCAAGATAGTAAAGGAAACATAGTTACAACAGATTAGACCAAGATAGTACATAGTTACAACAGATTAGACCAAGATAGTAAAGGAAACATAGTTACAACAGATTAGACCAAGATAGTAAAGGATACACAGTTACAACAGCTAAGACCAAGATAGTGAAGGATACATAGTTACAACAGATAAGACCAAGATAGTTAAGGATACCTAGTTACAACAGATTAGACCAAGATAGTAAAGGATACATAGTTACAACAGATAAGACCAAGATAGTAAAGGATACATAGTTACAACAGATAAGACCAGGATAGTAAAGGATACATAGTTACAACAGATAAGACCAAGATAGTAAAGGATACATAGTTACAACAGATAAGACCAAGATAGTAAAGAATACATAGTTACAACAGATAAGACCAAGATAGTAAAGGATACATAGTTACAACAGATAAGACCAAGATAGTAAAGAATACATAGTTACAACAGATAAGACCAAGATAGTAAAGAATACATAGTTAAAACAGATAAGACCAAGATAGTAAAGAATACATAGTTACAACAGATAAGACCAAGATAGTAAAGGATACTTAGTTACAACAGATAAGACCAGGATAGTAAAGGATACATAGTTACAACAGATAAGACCAGGATAGTAAAGGATACATAGTTACAACAGATAAGACCAGGATAGTAAAGGATACATAGTTACAACAGATAAGACCAAGATAGTAAAGGATACTTAGTTACAACAGATAAGACCAAGATAGTAAAGGATACTTAGTTACAACAGATAAGACCAAGATAGTAAAGGATACATAGTTACAACAGATAAGACCAAGATAGTAAAGGATACTTAGTTACAACAGATAAGACCAAGATAGTAAAGGATACTTAGTTACAACAGATAAGACCAAGATAGTAAAGGATACTTAGTTACAACAGATAAGATCAGGATAGTAAAGGATACATAGTTACAACAGATAAGACCAGGATAGTAAAGGATACATAGTTACAACAGATAAGACCAAGATAGTAAAGGATACTTAGTTACAACAGATAAGACCAAGATAGTAAAGGATACATAGTTACAACAGATAAGACCAGGATAGTAAAGGATACATAGTTACAACAGATAAGACCAAGATAGTAAAGGATACATAGTTACAACAGATAAGACCAAGATAGTAAAGGATACATAGTTACAACAGATAAGACCAAGATAGTAAAGGATACTTAGTTACAACAGATAAGACCAAGATAGTAAAGGATACTTAGTTACAACAGATAAGACCAAGATAGTAAAGGATACTTAGTTACAACAGATAAGATCAGGATAGTAAAGGATACATAGTTACAACAGATAAGACCAGGATAGTAAAGGATACATAGTTACAACAGATAAGACCAAGATAGTAAAGGATACTTAGTTACAACAGATAAGACCAAGATAGTAAAGGATACATAGTTACAACAGATAAGACCAGGATAGTAAAGGATACATAGTTACAACAGATAAGACCAAGATAGTAAAGGATACATAGTTACAACAGATAAGACCAAGATAGTAAAGGATACATAGTTACAACAGATAAGACCAGGATAGTAAAGGATACATAGTTACAACAGATAAGACCAAGATAGTAAAGGATACATAGTTACAACAGATAAGACCAAGATAGTAAAGGATACATAGTTACAACAGATAAGACCAGGATAGTAAAGGATACATAGTTACAACGGGAACAAATTAATTCATTTGTCTATGAGTGTATTTTTATATGTGTGTGTGTGTGTGTGTGTGTGGTTGTACATATAGTGATAGAAACAGCAGTTATTATGAACTACAAGATTTTCTGAATCCAAAGATTTGTTAAATTATCTATGCCAAGTCCTCATATTGGTGTTAGAGCCCCATCTGGGGTCAGGGGGACCTACTACGCCCACACACATGCGCATGCACACAAGCACACACACACGCGCATGCACAGGAAGTGGGCGCATGGTTTGTGGATAGAGGGAACCCAGTGTGGAGGTGTCAAGGACAGACATTTATGAATATTTTTGAAGAAAAAAAAACCTAGACACTTGACCAGCGTGCGGTACATCCCTGGTTCACAGGCATCAATGGTAATGGTGGTGTTAAGGACAGACATTTATAAATATTTCACCCCAAAAAAAAAAACCTAGACACTTGACCAGCGTGTGGTACACTCCCCGATCACACGCATCAATGATAACGATGATGATGATGGTGGCCACAGCAGTGATGACGACGATGATGATGTCAAAGAAGGAAAAACTTTAGTCAATGGTAGATAATGCAATGTGCTGTTGAGCGTTAAACCTTCACATATTATATATTATTCCTGGAGCACCCTTGTTTTTTAAATTGCAAGGAACCAACAGTCTGCATACAAATAAGCCAGATTTGTAAAACAGATGTGAACGCAAAACTCAAATTCCGGAACAAGATTACATTCAGAAGTGGACGAAAAACTAAAACTTACCACCATAGTTTAGAGCCAGATCATTTAGCCTTACACAGATAATAATTTCGAGAAAACAAACTTAAGATAAAAATTGACTTAAAAATAACTGCAGCTTTCAGGAAAAGTTTTGATAAGTGCAAAGTACAAAGTAATCAATCAAAAATGTAAATAAACACCAGACTCAGCTCACCCCGTGGCCACTCCAGGAAAAACCAGGTCCCTTCTTGAAGTCAGTTTTGAAAAACATGTGCGTGAAATGTTGAGCGAAGAAAGTCATCAAAACACTGCTACCCATTGGCTCTGGACGAAATTTTGTGCGAATGAAGAATGTTGATATAAGTTTCTCCACATCCGGAAGTTCTTTCTTTCCTGCATAAATAAACAAAGATGTTCTGGTTTACTGTTTGAATCATAATTTAATTGAGATATAAACTTTAAAAAAACTACAGCTTAGTGCCTCACAATCTGTAGGGGTCTCAAAAAATTTCGTTTATATTCTTTAAAACATACAATTTTCTCTTAACAGAGCCTTTTTAGAGGATTATACAATATATATGATTTCTTTTATGAAAAATTAAACAATCCTTATTTAAAAGGTAAATATATGTGTAGGTTTTCTGCACTTAGCTGCTGTAATTTAAAATGGTGGGGGGGTGGGGGGGGGAGGTTTCGAGGCATGGCGTAAAAAAAAATTCCTTGGCAGTTGGAAATTGAAAAGAGTAGCCTAACGGCGCAACCCGGGCAAAATTTTGAGTTGAAAATCTACCTAAAGTATTTCAAGATCCTCGCTGGTGCTACAGAGCCTGTGCACTGTGCTGAGCTTCTTCGGACTCAGACTTGAGTTAGAAGAAGAACGGAGCACTTTTGGGTTACTACCCATGTGCCATGATGTTGATCCGCTGTTCAAACCTCAAAACTAAAAATGATAGGGGCCTTAGGGCTTTAGGCTTCATCAAATTTAAATCTGGCCCTGGTTTGAATCATTGATTTTACATCAACAATCTGCATTTGTATAATAAAATGATTCAGTAAGAGTCAGAGTGAGGCTGGACACAGCCACTTAGAAGTTAAACAGCATCATTTGGTTAGCTGAGGTTCCAGTATCACTGCAGACAGGTTGCAGCTGTCAGATGTGCCAGCACTAACGGTCCAACACTATAATTACAGCTCACTGTTTGTACAAAAGCTGGCATTGCACCGGCAAAAGTACATGCCTTTCTGAATGTTAACTGGCCACCCGCCATTTTTGTGCATTTGACAACACCTTTGGGCACAATAAAAGGAAAAAACATTCTATAGCTCAAAGTGTCACACCTTCAATCAACTCGGTAGCTGGGTGACAGAACTTTTGACTCCTGGTCTAGAAATGGGGAATTAGCATCAGCAAAACCTGGCTTCAAATTTTTTTTAAACTTTTCAGAGTGTCAACGATCAGCAAGCTATCAACCATTTGGATCGGAAGACCTAAAGCAGCATTAACAGCAACACAACCTCAGTAGACACACACACTTTATAAAAAAATTGTGAAAACAGGTATCTTTCTGTGACAGTATGTGGATGTAATGGGCACTGAAAGGATGCAGCTGTGGTAAACTACCTGTGATGATGTACTGCAGCCAGAGCTTATGCTGGTCAAGAACTATTTACAAATCTTCGCAGTCATCTTAGAAATATGATCCTTGCCTGGTCAACATAAATCAGATAAATGTTTGGCTTGGAGTTGGTGTGCATCTGCCTGAGAGTCAAAGAAACCTACAGTCTGCACAAAAATAAGCCATGTCTGTAAAATGGATGTGCACATAACATTGAAGTGCTGGCACAAGAGCAAAGTTCAGAAGTGGAGGAAAGCCAGCACCCCTAGCTGAGCTTACAGCCGATGAATGCTGAGGAAAAAAGATATGGTCTGTGAAGACAAAGAAGAAGAGTAAGAAGAAGGAGGACCCCAAAAAAATTAGGGAAAAAGAAAAAGGGATAAGAAGAAGGTTGTAAGAGTAGGAGTAGGAAACATGATGTGTAACATAGTTCTCAAAAAGAGACATGTGCTTCACAGAAAAACATGAACAAGATGTACCAATTGCCAGGTAGTTAAAAAGTGTGAGCTACAAACAAAATGCTGGGAATATGAAACAAATATAACCACGAAGTAATACAAATACTTAGTAAATTGTAACAACCCCTCTCCCCCCCTCCCCCCCCCCCCCCTGGAAAAAAACACAGAACAGCTAAGAATTCAATTACAATCCAAGGTATACAAGTAGAAACCGCTGGATTATCCAAGACAATAAATGTCTTTTTTTTTTTAATTCTTTGTTTTCTCAAACTGATTATGTATACTGCCTTCTCCCATTTTGTTTTTCTTTTTCCTCTAAATCTCTTTCAATTTTGATCCAGTATATGTTTTTCTCTTCTTCATGTTGTCCCTTAAATTTACTTCTTTTATTTCTTTTGTTATAATCTTCCCCTATTTCCTTTCTGTATCTGCCTAAACTGTTTCCTTTCTCTATCTTTTCACCTTATTTTCTATCTATCTCTATTTTTATTTCACCTTTCTCCTTGCTTCATCTTTTCCCCTTACCTTCTTCATCTATTTCCTTTTCATATCTTCTTCCCTTATCTTCTTTCTGTATGTATCTTTTCCCCTTGTCTCTTCTAACTAAAAGCAGCTACAGTGAAATTATAATCATGGCCGATATTTGTGTGGAAGAAGAAATTAAACAAAGTTATCTGCTAAATTGGTTTAGTTTATGTTAGTAGGAATGTTTTCTTATGAACATAAACAAATTCTCAGAAAGATTTGTTAACCACTGCCCCCCAAAAAATGTAAACTAAACAATGATGGAGTCTAAGGTAAACATGCCAGCAAGAAACAAATGAATTCATAAAATACTTTTAAAAAATCTGGCAAAGTAACTGAGTGAGTACAACTGGCAGAGGAATAAAATGGTGCAAGGAAGTAATAAAGTTGTGAAGAGGGTTTTGTGTACAGCTGTGAAAAAAATTTCTGCCACTGCCAGTCTCAAGTTGGGATGAGAAAGTAGAGGCTTAGGAATGGGGCCAGTTCCCCCACTGTAAAGAAAAAATTGACTTGCTAAAGAAACTTGTAAGGAAGGATGCCAATGGAGAAATAGAATACAAGCCCTGTGTGGCATATAATGGCACAACAGGACAATGAAGAAATTAATGCATGTGAAAAGAGATGAGGTATTGATGACATTAAGGATACTGTGGATCAATATGAAATGACGAGTGCCACCAATCAAGTGTTGGGCAGCAAACTGTTTCACCATACGATTTTGTTGGAAAATGAACAGACAGACAGACTTGTTGGATGGGTGGTTGTGATGACCCTGCTTTGCATGGTCTCCACGAGTACATTGTGGCAAGCAGGAAGTCCGTGCTACAAGTGACAGCACGAAATACTTGTGGCCGGGGGAGTAAGCGAGGCGAAGCCCGAGCTAGACTCGTGGTCAGTCGATCATGAGAAGTCAGAGAAGACGGTTGTAGTAATTGAAGATGTCGTCTTTTTATGTCGCGAGAATGGTTAATGTTCGAATATGTTGCGAGTGATAAAGTGTGAATATTGTTTGAACATGTGAAATAAATGGACCAGAATAAACTGACAGAATGTAAAAAGAAACTGAGCGGCGTTTGTGTTGTCAACCCTAGACTTTAAAGCAGTGCAAGTTTTGTAGCAGTAAACATCCAGAGAGTGAGCCGTGGCTAAAGCCAATATGTAGTGAGTCAAGGTGCATGTCAAGTAAACCACGATTCATTCCAAGGGAAGCAACGAGTCATTTCAAGTCAAGCCAAGAATCATTCCAAGTTAAAACAAGATTCATTTCAGTGGTGACTTTATGCTTGCTCTTGTGGGAGCAAGTGAACAATAAGAAGTATAAACAGATCACTATGGCCTGAAGTGGATTATTCAGCAAAGGAGTGACAAGGAAATTTGGTTTACATTCTAAACTCAGCGGAAAGGCAAGACAGACATAAAATCAAACGTCTTCTTGCACCATCAGTATTAGAACTCTTTGCTGGCTGCTGAAGATGAGGATGGAGCACTTACTTGAATGTCCAGAGTGCTGAAATGTCAGTTCTGAGCTCAACAAAAATGGCTAATCAGCCATTCGTCTCACTGCTTTGAGGTATAGACTGGATGCTGTCTCATGGCATAGTAAAGACTAATGACACATAACAGTAGATCTTTAAACTGATGATGGACTTGCGGTCAACATGGTGGACAGGCAGGATTACTGTTATAAGTCATTGCAATTGTTTGCTTCTGACAACAGTTAGCCATTGCATTTTCCTCCATATGTAGACTGAGGGGATATAATTCCATCGCCCTGCTACTCAGTTGAATGTATGGCACAGCACTGTGAGCTGTGGATTTAATTTGGAATGCTTTTTGACTGAGCCCAACGTGGATTTTGTTATCAACTGCAGATTCAGAAAATTCAGACGAGTGGCCTGTTGCCAGAGATCTGGTGTTGCTTTCTGTGATTAATGGTATGTGAAAACCTATTGCTGCTTCCATCGCTGATGAACTGCATTTATAGTGCTGGGCTGTTTGTGTTAGCACGTCTGGCAGCTGCCGTATGCATTTAAAGCGTGTATATGCTACTGGTTTTGCTGGGACTGCAGCATGCATCCATTTTTTCACAAGGCACAGTGATGGACATTCTGTGTGCCTTTCACTGGCACAGGAACAGAGCAACTACGCGGTGTCCTGATTGCTATGATGTTGGTTTACCCGATTTAAACTGACGATGACACTTGCCAGTAATGATGATGACGGGGATGGTTCTGATGATACTGAATAACTAGAGATCTTACCTTTAACCCCCATGGGTGTAGGGCAGTCCCGCGGAACTGGAGGTAAAGTTCTGGCATAGACTGTACTGTTGGTGTGAGCAGCAATGGTTGGATATGAGTGAACTGTCTCGTAGAGGGGTGGGCTGTCGACGACATTTGACCTCACTAAAGAAAAGAAAGGGCAAGGGTTAGAGGTCAGGGGATTTATGTAGGACCTGAATTTAATAAAATGAGTTGGTTGACTAAGTGTATGGTGGATAGGCTGGCTGGTTGTTTTGTTTCCAGTTGACTGATTAGTCACTTGTTTGGTTATTTCTTGGCTGGTAGTTTTACTGTTTGTTTGGTAGTTTGTTTGTTCGCTTATTTGATTGGTTAAGTGGCCGCCTGTTTGGTTTATTTGTTTCATTGGCTAGTTTGCTGATTGGTTGGCTAGTTTCTGGATCACTGGTTAGTTGGATGATTGGGATGCAAATGTGCTGAACTGCAAGTGTTTGTGCACCAGGGCCAATAGATCAATCAACTATTGATGGGTGATGTGATCAACATCACTTCAGCCACCTTTACTTCCTAGGACTTTACCTGGTACCCACAGGATGGGTTGACCTGGGAGCCAATGTTGTTTTTTTGTTAAGGGGAGGGGAAAAACCAACTAGATGTGGATTTGAACCCAAGAACATCAATACTTACATAAATAAATCCTTTTCATGAAGTGGTTGTGAAGCCACTCTACTGAATTGACAAAGTCCCAGATCCACTTCAGTGATGGATTAACCAACAAGTTGTGAACAGTTTCAGATGAAGGTTTCAAAAGACGCTTTAGTCTCTTCATCAAAGTTGCTGAAAAAAATCATATTACAGTTATTTTCAGAATTTTCAGCATTTTTCTGTTGAATGTTAATAAACCTTCTTGCATAGATTGTACTATTGGTGTGTGCTGTGATGGTTGGATAGGAGTGAACTGTGTCTCATAGATGGGTGGGCTGTTTCCAAAATTGCCAGCATTCTTCTGTTGATTGTTAACAAAACTTCTATTTTCTGGATACTAAATAAAAATTTTTTTTAAAAATTGCGATAAGGAAATGACTGCGGCAAATTTCACAGGTCGTAAATGTGACGATAAACTAATCCTGCCTTATGGGCGCAAAGTTTTGCATGTGTCACAAAAGGTTTATAATATGGGCTGATTAACTAGACTTCCATGTCTAGATTTTACGACAGCGCTATTCAACTGGCGGACCGCAGGGCAGATTTGGTCCACGGAGGCCTAACAAGTGGCACGCGGATCACTGTCAGTTTTACTGTATTGATAAACTTTGTATGCTGGGGCTCGCGCCTCTTGCCTACGTTGATCAGAATTTTCAAAATGTTGGGCCCCTAAGTAAACTTAGATGAATAGCACTGCTGTACAAGATTTGTGAAAAAGTAAGACCATAAAACCTTCATAAATAAGGCGAGGAGAGAATGGTGCCGCGGGAGGTAATGAGGAGATTTGACTGACACTCAGAAGAAAGGCAAGACGGACATACAATCAGACCGTTAGATGTACCCAGTGCAGTTAAATCTATGGTAACTATAGGCCTCGTTTGCACCGGGACAGTTCCATTTTTAGGTTCCCGGATTGAGTTAGCAATTAATCCTTTCATTCCGGTGACCTAAGAAAAAAGGGGGAGGAAAATGGCGGGGGGGGGGGGTGTGACTTGACTGAGATGTCCCGTCTTCAGCTCAAAATATTAGTTTACTGTCCGTTTTCATATTAGTGGGATGTCCCGTTTTCATATTAGTGGGATGTATCGTTTTCATATTAGTGGGAGGTCCCGTTTTCAGCTCAAGATACTGTCACCCTAGGTGATATCAATTCTTAACTCAACCAGGGGGAAGGAGAAAGCATCCAAAGCAAGAATATATACTTCGGACAATTAACCAATAATACACATTGTAATACTTACGGGTTTCGCAATGTCTCCCATAAAACTCCAGATGTGTGCAGTCGCATGTGTAGGACCCGGGTTCCTTCCCCGTGAGGCAGATTCCTTGGTTCTGACATGGGTAGGAGCAGCATGGATTTT